GCAATTTTCTCTCAATATTCCTGTGGCGGAAAAGTCCCAATTTGGCAGCTTATTTTTCCTTTTATGTGGTCTACTTTAAATCTTTAATTATTTGTTTAATGGAATCAAGAAAAATTAATTAAGCTAATTTGTTATATTAATATATTATATATGCTTGTTAAAGGAAAAGATGTGGAAGTGAGATTGGGAATCGTGCATCTTCAAAACATGATCTTATTTGACTATTTCTATTTAATAAATTATTTACTTTTATTTATACTTTACTTTATAATTTAAGGGGAGAAATAATTAACTATACATAGGATATAATTATTATATACACATACTACTGAGAGATAAAAAAAACTTTGGGGGGGACCATGGCCCCCCCAACCATAAACGTACATCCGTCTCTGATCTTATGTACTCCATTATTTAGGTTTACATAAGGTGTTAATCGAAACAAGTCATTCATGAGCTCGACTCGTTTCATCTCGTTAAGGCTCGGGTTCAACTCAATTCGTTTGTTGGAGCCCGTTGAAAGCTCATTTAGTTAATGAACCATTAAAAACTCGTTTAGTTAACTGGTTGGACTTACTCGGGTCGTTAAGGCTTGCATAAATTTTTTTATATAATTTCTATTGTTCGGCTAGTTAAGGCTAAAGCTCCATTCATGATATTGACAAACAAGCTGAATTCAACTTAGATTACCTGTCATTTAGTTAACGAGTTCATCTAGTTAAAGGCTCGAACTCTAGCTCGAGTACCATGAGCTTAAACTCGATTCGGATCGTTTACATACAATTAAAAAGTTTGACCTCGATTACCGGTTCATTTCGTTAACGAGCTGAACTCGGGTAGGCGAGCTCATCTAATTTAAGGCTCGAACTCTAGCTCGAATACCATGAGCTTAAGCTCAGTTCGGCACGTTTACATCCCTATATACAATGAAAAAGCTTGAGCTCGGTTAAACTAAATCAGCCGAGCTCGGGTCGGCTAACTCGTCTATTTAAAGCCTCATGCTCGAGCTCGAGTATCATGAGCTTGAGCATGAGTAACAGTTCTAGCTTTTTATAATTGTTGGGGAACGGCCAGCACATGTTATTCTATGACGAATAGATAAATAATCTGATACAGGCTACAAGAAGCAAATTCCCTCAGTTCTGCCCTTTTTTTTTTTCTTTTCTAAGTTACACACGCAAAAAAATCCTGAATCCAGAATCCGGGAAGTATATCTAAAGCGTACAAGAAAAATCACAACTCTTTATACAGCTAAATTCGAAATCCCGCATGCGAAAGAGACCAACCACTAAGCAAATGAATCAGAATGGCCGAGCTTCTGTATCCACCGGACGAATGGGTTCCCCAGTAAAAGGATCGAATTTATACGGCTCTCCAGTATACGGGTCGAACCTAATTTGACGTCGAGATTCTTGGTGACCAACACCACCAACAACTCTTTTATCATACGAAGATACAGACAAACCTGGTGCCGTCTGGACAGGTGGCGACGGGTGAATTTCCTTGGTTCTTAACCCGACCCGCCCGTAAGACATGGTTGGGACCGGTCTCGACTCATAGGGAGAAAGGGTTCTTTCCTCGAGCGTGTCTACTTTTGGAATCTGGAAAATGTGGGGCCCGGAGTGATGACCTGAAGGTGAAAGTGGGGTTCTGTCATCTACTCTTCTGGTTAGGGTTCGACTTGATAGAGGATAGCCTGGAGGAGGACCCGACTCGTCCGCTCTTCGTATTAGTGTTCCACCTGGCAGAGGGTAATCTGGTAAATGTTGGCCGTTGACTTGTCGTGTTAGAGTTTGGTTTGGCAAAACATAGTCTGAGCGTGGTGATGAATATGCCGCGTAAATGTTGGGCCTGCAGGAGAGTCGGCAGCCACAGAGAGTTATGCCACTTGCCACGTGTTTTGACACGGACTATGTAAGAGTTTCGTGGCAAAATGCAAAAGTACCAATGTGATTTGATATAATTATTAAGAGGAAAATGCTCGGTGGACATAATTTTTGTACATAACGATGAAAAGTTATGTACATTAGGGTAATTAACCCGGTTATCGTTAAAACATCCGTCTGTCTTTCAAGATTGCAAATGCCTCCCTTAACATTTGTTTCTTTTTCACAAAATGAATCTTGTTGTATCTGTGTTCTGAAGGAAAACTGGAGTCATCTTATGCTTAGATTTAAATCATCTTTTTAACAAGTTATCAGGAACACTTACGGTGTGACTGGATATACACTTAACCAATAAAAAAACAATCAGAACTCAAATTTAACTCATATTTAACCTAACCCCATTATTCTCAATATTATCAAATAATTAAATAATATCAACTAATCATTCTCACACATAATATCAATTTTAATTCACTATTCATCCACTTGCATAATTTTAACTAACAATTACTTCCAATCATTTTCCTCCTACTTTTATATTAAATGAACTTTAATTATTTTATTTTCAGTATTATTTTAATTTAAACTTAAATTTCCACTAACAATTAACTATACCACATTTTTCAAAATTAACTAACCAATAAAATCCATATCCAATCGCACTATGGCTGGCCAGAAAACAAACCTAGTTGTTGCAGGTAATTGTGTGTGAGAGGTATAAGGAGCAGTATGTGGGGACACTTGATGCGAGATGCCAAATAGCCTCGACTCATTCCTAGTATTTTCGGCAACTCGAGAGAAAACGTCCAGGCTCTGGTTTGATCTTGCTTTTTCAGCCAGATGCTACAATGGATAAAAATTGTTTAATGGGAAGTTAAGAGTAGGAAAACGTAAAATCAGGCACCTGAACAAAGGTCAGTTACATACTCTAGAAATCAGTCCATCTAAATATTCTCCCTTATTTGGCAAAGCCGCGCCAGAGAACATGAACTGCAAAGAAGGATGAAGAGAAAATAAAATGTTACAACTCATCTTAGTGCAAACAAGCATTAATATTATTATCAAATATATATTATGTATATATAGTATCTGCTGGAACCTGGTCAAGGATAGAAATAGCATTAGGCTCGGGTAGTTCCTTTAGACTGCATAAACTTTTAACATCAATCTGTCAACAGAAAAGGGGGGAAAAAAGAAAGCAACACGCAAACTCAATATTAGCATGTAAAGATAGTGCAGTTAAACTGGATACAATCCACCAGGGTAAATTCATTATGCAGAGTTCTAACTTCTAAAATTCCCTCAATTGGCAATCTGATTATCGCAATTATCAAGTTAAATCTCAGCAAAAAGACTTAAGTGTTCGCGAAAAGTAAGGAAACAATAATACTAGGTATTAATATCGTAAGAAAATTTAAAAATAGATGAAACCGGAACAGATAGAAAATTGTTCACGTAAAGAGAGCGAAGCAAAACAAGTTCTAACGTAGACGATCAATGCATTAGCTTCTTCTAACTCTTGTAGATCACTGCTATAAGTACGACCATGGCTCACGCGTATATTTAGGACTTCGGGTGTTAATTTCATTACAAACACCAACTTTGTAGCAATTTAGGAACTCACATCAAAACGAGTAGCAATTCCAAGCCGTAGAATTCGGAGTAAGCGCTCTTTAACAGCTAAAGGCAATGCTATTACAGCCTCCTCGTAAGGGTCAGAAGATTCAATTCCCTGTTAAGACATAAAACACAAAGATCAGATAATAAAATAAAAACAAGATTGCAAGTTCAAAACGTTGAACTATTACAAGAACAGAAAAAACAGTGCTTGAACATTTACCCTATGGACTAGAGAACTATGGATATCAGGTCTCAAATGTTTAGAATGATCCTGAACAGAAGTAGTCTCAGAGTTCTCATGAACTCGCTTCTTGTTTTTATCCATAGGTCTTGCAATTTCAACCTGTAGGAGGACAATAATGGAATAAGATATTCAGGTGAATTAGGCTTCTTGTAATAATCAACACTCAAAAAATAAAAAAGAGAAAAGTGCACGGAGGTAGTTAAATGCAGACTTAGAGCTTCTAGCAATCCCAAGTACCTGGAGTTTATACAGTGGACCTCCATTAGGTCCTTGGACTGTTTTCTCACTCAGTGCATTGATGGCTCTTTCAAGATCCTATGCCAATATTTGGAAAAATAAATAAATAAATGAGAATGTAACTTAACCAAGAACAGGGGCAAAAAGAACAAAAGGATTTCGTCCATATGTAATTGTGCTTTAATAGATAAAGAGGTCCAATAAGAAAAATAAAAGGCTTTCTAAAGCAACCCCTCAAAACTCCCCATAGGAGAACTGCCTACGGAACAATTGAACAACTATATCACTCCCAGAATCTTGAAATCGAGTAAAATGTGTAATAAGGAGAGATGAATCATGACAAGACCAAATATTGTGCTTGTAATCGAGGCATGTTGATTAGAAGTTATGTGTCAACCTTGACTTGGATATAGTATTCAACCCTCTTTATCAGGTGATGGCCCTATGTCACTGTTAGCTATCACATGTGAAAATTCCAGCACTCGATCTATTTACTTACAATCAATAGAATATAATCGGCGTCTTTTGAAAAATCTAGCCCCAACTATTTAACTAAAACACAGAGCATTCCAAATGATTCAAGTCCAGGAGGGAACTTAGAGACTTATTGAGTACAGACTACACAATCCAGATTGGTACGATCATGAGCATGCATACTTCACTAAGAGTCTTGTTAGGTCCTGGAAGTCTCTATTTTTAAAATATGCTTGACCTTGTATCAACCTAAAAATATAGAGAAAGGCATCTAAAAGGCCTTTTACGCGGTAATAAGATTCAGATCCCAAGTCAGACCATGTGAAAACAGAGCAGCTAAGATTAAGATCACCATTCATCTAGCACAGATAAAGATCACAAGGTTTATTTGCAGCAGTACATTTATCGTGTGAAAAATAAACAGCAAAACTACACAGGCTCATGAATATTAGCAAATGTAAATCAGCTTACCAATCTCTCAAAAAAATGAACAAATCCAACTGCGGAGCTACCTTTTTTGGACACCACTACTTTCTCTATCTGAAAAAATGGTATCCGATGTAAAAGTTTAACATCATGTATAAGAAATGACAAATAAGAGTTAAAGTATGTAAGACCTTGCCAAATGGCTCAAACAATTGCTTCAAATAGTACTCTTCTGCATTAAGAGGTAGGTTCCTGACAAATGCTACTTTTATCTGGAGAAGAAAAGAAAGGGGGAAAATATCATATGCAGGAAGGTTAGATACAAAAATATACTCTAAAAGATACTTGCAATGCAAAGGACAGTGATTAGAAACCTTAGCAAGTTCATTCGGATCTATTTCACGTTCTTCTTCTGCCCACTGAACAACTGGGTGCAAATTCCCAAGCCGAAAATCTGGTTGACAGCCCACCTGATGAGCACGTGCAGCTGCCTGTGATCGACAATTTTGAAGTAGGCAGGTTCAATTTTATATAGGGGAAGATTTGATTATATGTTTTTACTTATTATGAGCCTCTGCGTAATTTAAAACATGATTGTAAATTATTGTAAAAGATTGCATGTTAAAGTATAACAAAAGCTGCCAGCAGGCATGTTTTGAATAGTTATTACAGCAGAAGCTGAGTGTATCGTAGTTCAGGTGATCTGTTAGTAGTTAATTTTAGTTTTATTCGCCCCTTGATGTTCATTTGTTATCCATTGTAACAACGAAGGGATGAGACAGATAGGAGAAGAAAGGGTGTAAAATATAGGAGTCATTAGCTGGATTGTGAATATCAAATGATCATGCTTTGCTTAGCAAGACAATGGAAAGTTTAAATTTAACAAACTTGGAAAGCAAGAATATGATTCTAAAACGACGAGCAATCTTCTAAAAATTTCACGGCTTGTATCAACAGGAGGTATAGGGTAGTACAATTCTAAGAAATTCGAGCAGTTAAAGATGCTTGGATATAAGATGTTTTGATTTTGTTTGGATTTTTGGTTTGATATGGTTAATTTTGAAAAAAGTGGTATGGTTAGTTGTTAGTGGGATTTTGAGTTTACATTATAATAATATTAAAAATAGAATAATTAAAGTTGATTTGATGTAAAAGTATGAGAGAGATGATGTGAAGTGATGGTTAGTTAAAATTATGTGAGTTGATGAATATTGAATTAATGTTGATGTAATGTGTAAGAATGATTGAGTGGTATTATTTAATTATATTGATAACATTGAGGATTGTGAGGTTGAGTTAAGGTTCAATAATTAAAAAAATGTGATTGTTAAATGATTGGTTTTTTTGGAAAAAAATCGTGTCCAAGCATGCACTTTATAGATCAGTGTGCTCCATTCACACATAAATTAAAAAGAATGTAGAATGTTAATTTCATCGAGTTTTTGACTTGATACTGACAGAGCTTTAATCACATTGAACGGTATCAGGGATAACTGGGCCAGGATATACTTCAAGATTGAAATATAGGAAGAGAAATGGATGAGAAC